AACGTCGTTCTGAATTCTCTAAGTATTTCCTGCGCCAATGCAAGGAAAACCAGAAATTTCTGAAACACGTTCTTTTGACAGATAAAGTGAGTTTTAAAAGAGTTGGAGCGATTAATCTGCCCAATTTGCATGTGTGAGCAGAGGAAAATGTATATGTTGCATGTAGCGTAGCTCACCAAGAGTGATCTAATTGTGTGGATTGACATTGTGGGCGAATTCATCGTCGGTCCTCACTTCTTACTCGAGTGTTTGAGAGGTGTTCAGTAGCTGAATTTTACTACTCACGTACTCCCTACGCTTTGAGAGGAATACCCGTTGAATGCGCGGGCATAGATGTGGGACCAGCATGATAGCAGTCCCACATAATTATCGCCGAGTTCCGGAATACAATGCAATTTCAGATCGTGTCGGCCTTTTTCGGCGGATTGCAAGCGGGGCGACAGAAATAAAGGGATTACCCGGCAGCGCCATGGAGACCGCGTGGCACAGATGCCTATCTTGCGTACACGCAAGTGGAGGTCATTTTGAACGCATGTAGAGCTCCTGTTACACGAGGTGAAAATGATAAATTTAGGCTCTATACGCAAATAGTAATAAAGTACCCTAAATGACACTTAAATAATATTTTTCTCTCTCCTTTCACATTCGTCAGAGAAATAGGTAATAATAGCAACATGAAACAATATTTGAAGTAATACTTGGGCTACCTTTAAGCAAAACTGACCAATGAAAGAAAACTTTGTGTGTTTCAAAACGTTAAAGGGTTTACAGTATTTTCCTTTGCACACGTTAATAACTTAGTGTACTCTATCACAAGGTCCTGCACAGGCAACGATGGCTGAATCACACTGTATATACTTGTACTTTCATTACTTATTTCAACTCTCATATGTTAAAGAATCCACTGAAAACTTCAATCATGAAAATGTATACAAAATTAACAAGTTTGATGAAATATTGTATTGTGCTGAATATTTGTCTTGTAGTAATTCAATTAACTTCAATAATTGAGGTCACCTGCTGTTGACTTTAATTTCTCACAATATTAATTAATGCTCGTAAATTCGTATAATGTTTAAAATGAGAAGTATAAATAAAAAAATCCCAATTAATTGATCACTCACGGTATACCGAATCTCTAAAACTGATGTGTTCTACCAATTCAAGCGACTCGGTATTACGATATGCCATTTTTATTTAATAAAGCTTTATAATATGAAGAAGAAACTATAGAAGTGCACTGGGAGAGGCGGCTCAGAGCATCAGCTGATGTCACTGCAGTGTCTTTGACCAGAAGATCCTCGGGTTCAAGCCCTGACAATGGCAGGATTTTCGACACTAGCTAGACAGGGTCGAGTTCTGTCGTTGTCTCGAGGAGAATTCTAGCGGCTGGCTGCCCTGACCAGTAGTTTTTGTGGTTTTTCCGATCAACACCAGGCGAATGCCGGAGCAGTACCCTAACCAACAGGCTACGGACTACGCACGATTTTTCCTTCCCATTCCTTGCCCTACCCTGCCCCTTTACACACACTTACATGCCATACACTACCACACATGCACCGCTCGGAAGCGTAGAGCTTGCCCCGCATGAGGCGGTGCCGCGCTGGTGGAAGATACCTCCTTGGTTTATTCTGCACATCATATAATTTTCTTTACACTATTAGTAGGTAGTATTCGAGGAAAAGAAACTAGTAGTGTTACAACAGCAAATATTTGAATTAATTGGAATTGCTTTGCTATAGTATTCTATTATATAAACATGCAAAAGTGTTTTTCAACCAACATTTTTTCCGCATTGAGACTCGAACTCAGGTCCTCCGAGTTAACTCGCCGTAAGCCATACAAAATAAATACCGTCAGGTTCGAACCCGGTACGACCTTAAAAACTTTATTTCCTCAACCCAATATCTTCAACACGCAATTGTCGAAAATACGGAGAGTTAACTGAAAATGCGACTTGCACATATTTTTTACCGTCCGTTCGAGAAAAGTTAATGAAAAATCTGAAGCGGTGTTTGAGAATTTTTTTTTTTAATTTTTTAAATTTCAGATACAAATTATGCAAAATCTACTCGTTTATTTCTGAAAAAATGTTCATAACCTTTTTGTAAAGAGTTGATTTTTTAGAACACTTTCTTTAAGGCAAAATCTCCATCTTCAATTTTGTAATTTTGAAATGTTAACTTTTTACAATTTCTTGAAATAAGGAGATTTCGCCGAAATGGGACTATCACCATATTTTTTATCATCCCTTGATACATAAGAGAAGAGATTTTAAAGAAATATTTTGAGGCGGCTTTTTAAAAAAAAATGTTTAAAAATATTTTAAAATTGCTTATACTTTGTGCAAAAGTACATAAAAACTACTATTATTTTCAAAAAAATTGAACATGACCTATTTGACGATCTTTCTTTAAAGAACAGATTTCATTAAGAGCAAAAAATCTCTATCTTCAAAATAGTTGACGCTCCTAAAAATTGCACTTATGCAATTTTCGAAATGTAAAGGTGTTTCAACAATCATGAGATCTGCACCTTTCTTTTAAGCGTCCTTTACACTGAGAACAAAGAAAATTTCGAAAATGTTTCATGTAAAGTACGCTCAAAAATCAATTTCGAAAGTAGGCCTATTCATAAGATTCAACGTGGATAAATGTAGTTAAAATGATTCAATGAAGTGAATTAAATTTAAGTGACAGTTTAAATCATGTAGATAAATAAGGGCGTATAACCTTAATACTAATTACGTATTTTCTTTATTTATTTGGAAAATTACGCAATATACCTACATTGCAATATTATAATAGCTTTATATCAAGAAACTTCAATAAGGCCTAGAATATATCCTATTGCATCCTATAAGAGATTTAGGGATGAAAATCTTTCTAATATTATTGTCTGAAAACATGAACAGTCCCCTATACACAATTTTTCAATAACTCCTCAAATGAGCCCAAAATCTAATGTCTGCTCTGAACGTGAGTACATCCTGCAACAAGACTCTTCACGATGTCTTGCAATTGAGATTTAGAAGAATATTTCAGTTAGATCGGTCAAACGATGAGAGGACCTGTAGCCCTGCACGAAATAAGAGCTTTGATCGACAGCGAAATCTACTGGTTAAGCTGGTTGGGCCGAGAATGTCACTGGGTTGGGCAATGAAATTAATAAATGTTACTCTACTACCAATTTTACTTAATAAGGTGTCGGGTTTGGAATAAATCTTCCTATACGCCCGCATGAATAACAATAAAATAGGCATGTAGTAAATAAAAGATGTTGTCTAGTATCAAAAAGTATCTCATATTAGGCTAGAGGTACAAAGTATGTTGGCTGCTAGGGTGAAGGTCATTTCTCGAGAGTACATTTAGCCTGCGCAGCATCCGACGTCAGTCGCCCCCTCGAGGCAGTCGCGAGGCAGCCGGTGGACCCCCGGACAATAGGCACGTCTGTTTTTTCGACCTCATTGTCGAATGCGTTGAAATTGGCTTGTTGACATTAGGTCGCTAATATGAGGGAAAATATTTTTTGCATGCCTATGTAGGTTTCGACTATTTAGTAGATCTTCAGAGCAATAATGGAATCCATTTACGTTTATCACTTTAACATTTACCTTTAGCCTCATCGCTGTTGTGTATGAAACTCAATTATTCTACAATTCGCATTATTTACACAGGAACCATTTATAAAATGATTATATCATCTTAGTCTTCACCCATCACATCTCGCATACTAATGCACTAAGTTGAATTGAGTTGTAGTATTTACAAAACTAATGAGAGTAAGTTCGGTGAATATTGAAATAACCTACGTGTCCTTGTACGTAACCCTGTTCAAGTAACCGCTATTTATTCGAAGATAAAAAAGAAGCAAAAATACGCAAGCAAAATATTGCTTTAATCCCTGACGACCTACTGCCAAGAATCCAGTTTTTAAACAGATAATATGGTGCAATTTGGTAGTAATTTGAAGTCTTTATCTGCCCTCTATTTCAAATCGATCGTTAATTTGTCTGTTTATGAAAATCACTCGGCTGCGAGCTGATTACGAGAACGCAAAAACTCCCAACGTTCTCGATTAAAATCACAACCCGTGCGTCCGCAGGAAAGCAGGTGCGTCCACCACGCCCTGGGCAGAAAGCGAGTTTGTCTCCAGCGAATATCAACGCTCGCTTTCGCCGCTGGCGCCGCACGCGCGGGTGGCGCCGCACGCCCCACAGCCGGGGCTCTCCACGCGAGAGCCTCCTTCGGGCGGAGGCAAGAGGTCGAGGCCTGGCCAACGAGCTGCAGTCAGGGCAAGACCGCCGGGCCAGCTTCCTCCGCTCATACCTGTCCCGCACCCCGCAACAAGGCTGCCAAATTTTCAATTAGTCGAGAAATTAATTTTCTAACCGCACGAGAGAATGACACAAAAACGTAATTTATCGGTAATAATATTTACACACCAGCCTCTTTAAATCAACTTGAAATATTCATGGTTAGTGCGTACTATTAGCGCATTCCCGGACGCAAAATTATTATACGAAACCTAGAGATTGTTCTTTATAATAACTTCCATTATAGCTAAGTCTGAAAAAAATTGACAACTTCAAGACAAGAGTGTGACTTTGGTAGGTGAATTGGTAAGGGAAAAACACTTGCCAGAATGTTTCGCCTTTCGAGTTCCCAATGGGTGGCCCTCATAGTACGACGTCACCCCCCGAGAAAACTGCCACTGCTTTAAATGACTGACGGGATGAGTGGACGTTTCAGATTCACTGCCCCTCCCTCCATCCCTCCCGATGCCTACGTCGGCGTGGTCGCCGCTGGACCTCCAGCGGAAGCCCGACAGTCGCGCAGCGCAGGAGAGCGCAGAACCAGGAGGATGTAGAGAGCGGAGACGAGGCGAGACCAAGGAGCCGGAGTGAGAGGATCGTGGCCTGGAAGGAGCCCAGAGATCGGTGCTGGCGGTGGGCGGGCGGACGCGTGGAGAGCCGTTGCGTGCGCTCGCCGGCCACTTACGTTCTGCACGTCCACGTTGGTGCCGTAGTCGACGAGGATGCGGCACATGTCGACGTCGCGGCGCCGCGCGGCGATGTGCAGCGCCGT